GCTCTGAATGGGAAGCAAATCAACCATTTGTTGAGAGGATGTCACGTCTGGTTGTGTTGGCGTCGGCTCTGACTCTGTATTGTCTGACATTTCGCTTGATTTCAATCGACACTTAATTTCATAATCAATTTAATCGCCAATTATTGTCGCAATCAGTCGTCTCTCACACCTATGCGTCAAATGAACCGACAATTAGTGTCAACACAAACCCCGATAGCAATGAATACGTGAATAATTGTATGAAAACAGTGTTCAAAGCGATTCACACATACAGTCACACAATAGATGTGATCATCAAATGGTTGCACGAATTGGCGGCAAATTAATTGTATTTCGTATTGACGTCACACTCAACACACAAATGATGACACATTTGGTGCAAACTTATTGAAGTTTCTGTTCATTATATGGCCAATAGATGGCACTCACTGTCTGTACACCACATACTGACTGCCTGTTCACAGTCTCATTCATTAGTGAACACGTTGTGAGACAATGCGGTCAATGCTTTCACTGTATTCTCCATTCAACGCACACTTCAATTGAATTGTTTTTAATTGTATTTGATTTTGCATTCAATTTGTATGCTTTGTATGCAATGGACGCCTAATCATGCGATACATGACTTTCGTTGTGATCGCAACCAATGGTTTGTATAATAGATATGTTGTTTGCAGTGCATTAGGACTCGGATGTGATGGCCTGCAAATGGTGGCTGCGATGAGCGGACACTCATTGGATCCGATGGATGGATGAGGTATTGAATGAGTGGTCAAATGATTGGCTCAATTGGTGTTCAGACATGAAACCCTCTTATTCTTGACACTTGTTTACGATTATAGTAGTAATGAGTGAATGCTTTCAGAGGAAAATTAATTAATTTTGATTCATGCCTTCGGTGTCAATATAATTAATGATTATTGAATGCCATCCTCGAGAGTCAGTACAAGACATTTCTGACATGTTTGTCTTTATTACAGATGAATGACGAGCTATTGGTCCCAAACGGCATTCACCACATTGTATGGCATACCTGTGATCGTATGAATTGAGTGTTACTTTGTCTGTATATTTGTCATGATTCTCGAGTGAATTTAATAAACTAATGATTTGATTGACTTTCAATTGCTTACAATTTTATTTGTTACCACCAATTAACTATCATTATTACCGGTAAGTATGGTCTTAGGAAATATTAAATGTCAACTTGGTATCAGGTATTTTAAGTGTTTCCGGTAATATCAAAATGTAAATGCAACGTGGTCTTAAATTCTAACTCGGAATAGGTACTGTACCGAACAGATACTATTTACCAGTATTATACTGTAATTACTGTACAATACTGTACTGTAAGCAATTTAAAATGACCATATACAAATATTTGAATTAATTTTATGACAATTAAATTAAATGAATACAGTGATTGCCAGTATGTGTTGAATGTCATTACTTTTAGTTTCAGTCATGTTAAGTGACCATACCGTGAACAAATTATGGCGTTTATTAAGCAAAGTTTTATTTGCGATACAAAGGATGTATAATAAGGATTGTATTTAAGTGTTTTCATTGAATAGACAACTTTGAGGTGTGTTTTAGTGCAGATTTTCAACAAAAGGGTTGTCTTACAAAACAAATAAATTCTTTACGCAATTAATGAAACTTTATGTTTAAGACATTATAAATCAAAGAGTTTTATGTGAATGCATAGAATTGGTAATAAGGTAGAGTACACTATAATGTCTACAATTAATTGCTTGATGTTTGCAACGCGTGTTAAATGAAACGCTGTGTCTCTCACACGCGACTCATTGACTAATTTATTTGATATTTCTTTGCAAAACATAATTATGAGTTGTTTTGACCGATAATTATATTTGAAGATATATTTGTGAATTTGTATCACAACAAAGCGCTTATGCCGCGAGGTTTGTTACCAGATATGCAATTATATTCAATCTTTGCATTCAAGTGAGCCGCAGGTAAGGCCTACCAAGACATCTACAAAGTTGATTTGAACCCAATTTTTGATTAAGTCTCATATTTTATGATAGTTTTGGCTTTGTTTATGGGACTGGAAGTTATCATAAATTGTTTAACTCATGTAATAATTCATTAAACNTTGAGCGATGAGTTCAGTTGATCCTCGTTCTGCTCGTTCTCGTCTTCGGACAGATATCCGTGCGGAACGAAGATCTCATTGTCGATCTCATAGTCATCCTTAACAGAGCCGTCAGAGTCGGAGCCGTCGAGTGACTCTCCGGGTCCGCCCTCTTCCCACTCCTCATCGCTGTCCACTTCGTAGTCAAACACATCGGTGTCTCTATTGAAGGGTTGGGTGGCTTTGATAGTATGGCTCCGTTTGCGGAACGTTCCCCTATAGGGCGGCCGAACATTGGTGTGGAACTGGAGGTGCTTTATGCGGTACCTCTTCGGTTGATTCTCGTTGTCATCGCCTTCAGGTGTGCTCTCAATGATGATCTCCGGCTCACTCTTTTGGCGGCCATTGCATCGAAATATATGGTAATCAATGCTTTTGATTGAATCCAAATATAACTGATCCGAGTCTTGGGTCTGAGACAGAGTGTCCAACACTTCTCTATTAAATCGGTTTTTGGCAAACTCTGGAACCGCCGGCGCTATGGTTTGATTGGCACCCAATTGGAAGGGAAGAAACAAAGAGTTGGTAATCGTCTCATCGCTCGTCAATACACTCTTGCGATTCGACGACTGATTCGCTGAGTTCTTGAAGAAGTTGGACAACAGTTGTCTTTGTCGCTCCTCTTTCTTCAACTGTTCCTCAGAAGCCTTTTGTTTCTCAGACAGTCTTCGGCTCTTCTCCTCTTCTAATTTGCGCTTCTTTTCCGATATTTCTCTATAAATGAAACCAAAAGTTAATTCAATTTGAATGCAAAGATAACATGCGATGAGAGGTAAGTGTCGTCCGAATCCATACTCCAGTTTCTTCTGTTTCTCCAAATCCTTCTCCTTTTGCTTCTCTTCTCTCTCGCGAAGTCTGTCCTCCTTTTCCTTCTGCTTTTCATCTTTCATGCGCTGCCTCTCCATCTCCTTCTCGACCCTCTCTTTCTCTCTCTTCTCTTTCTCTGCGTCTTTCAGTTTCTGTCTCTCGAGTCGTTGTCTTTCCAACAAATCCTTCTTCTCCTGTATTTCCCTCGCCTTCCTCTCCTTCTCGGCCTCTCTCTCAGCGATCACACGATTCCTCTCCTCGAGAGCCCTCTTCTTCTCCTGTGGCGTCAGTTTTCGCTTCTTTTTGGCGCTCTTTTCGGCACTTTTTGTCAAAGAC